GTTTGAACCGCCAGCCTTCTGGTTAGCAGTCAAGTGCCTTAGGCACTATGCTACCAGAGCTCCTTTTTCGTATAACAATTAATAATATTAGTATAACTTAGACTAAGTTACACTAATAAAATGAAGGCAAGAAGCTCTGCTAGAACATAAGCATTGATTCCAAGATAGGTAGATAGGTACTGATTCATTTCTACATGAGAAATTCAGATGACAATATTTAGCACTAAATATAATGTATCTAAAATAATTTTCCACATTAACTTTTATTTTGTATTTGGAAATGAGATATGGCATATGTAATGGTAAAAAGAGAGCAGAACTGTATGGAAATAAAAAATGATAGTTAAAACTATAGCTTGACCATTTTATCTTTACTCATTTTAATAACCTCAGAAATAAGCCTGGGACTTGTGATGTGGATCTCATTTTGTATGTACCTATTCTAATTGGTAGGTATTTTGTCATGAATCACTCAAATTGATTTGCAAATTAGCATAAGTTTTGTATAATGGAATTTTTGTTTTCTCCCATTGTTCTCAATATCATTTCCACATTTGAATTAACTTATGCCCATGTCACAGTCATGGAATTGATGCAGGAGCAAGTGATTGGAGGTCCAAAATTGAAGAATGACTATAGCTATTAAAACCAAACTTAAATTTCCCAAAAGTGGCCACAACGTGGATCCCTTGGAATGAGGGAAGAAACTGAGCTTTACTATTCAGTTACTTGTCTGAGACTATTTTCTTATTTAAATGGTCCATAAAGAGCCAAAGAAAAGCTATTAGCCAGTAAGCCATGGTTTCCTTTTATTTCTGCTTAAACAAATCAGTGATCTGGAACCAGAAAAGCTTGCTCAAATAAGAATTTAACTGAACCAATTGCAAATGGCATTAGAATGAAATTGTTCAGAACACATTTGATGATAATTAACATTTTCTGTTGCAGTAAATATTGCCCTGAATTGAATCATTTAAAAACTTGAAAAAATATACTCTGGACAAATTCCTAAAGTTTATATTTTAAAATCAAATGGATTATTATACTATTAATTTTCTTCTGTTGTTAAAACATGCAGGGATGCAGAGCTACCTTGACAGAGAAATATTATTTTTGTTCCTTTCTGACTGAAATAGATATATTATGTATCTCACAGGTAACATTTTAATTTGGAAAAACATTTATTTTTTTTAATATTTATGATATTATGACAAAAGTTATCTAAAATTGTTTATTATAAGCTATGATAGATTTTTCTACTTTTTAAATATTAAGTCTATAAGATTATGTTATGCTCACCCCAGAAATTTTCTTCTTAATCTTTTATTGATGAATAGAACATACTGACAAATAAAGGATTGCAGAAGAAAAACTATTGATTAAAATTATTTCAGTATCTATCAGACATCGCTAATATATGGTATCAAAAGGAGTTATCTTTCTACTCAGTAGTGATTTTTAAAACACAAATATTGTATATAATGAGCATATGTAGTGGAGCACCTAGGCATAAAGAAGTGAGGCAACTCATTTAAACAATGTCATAAAACCCCGCCTTGTTGCATTCATGTTGGTATTACACTTAGCCCATAATTTCCAACCTTATTTTTGGAACCAAAATTTTGTTTGACAAAAATTTTTGTGGCACCCAAATAAAAATATAACGCAGAGGGAGAGAAGCTTAGTTCTCATGTATTAATATTTATTTATTATCTATTTTATATGTTAAGAACCAGTTAAACACTGGTGAAACAAAGGTGAATTAGATCTAGAGTATGATGTCAAGAAACTTCTTCAGCACAATTTTATGGCCAATATTATCACATGAGAATGCATGGTACTTTACTGTTTGGCTTCAATTTTATGAGTGTAATTTGGTCCGTTTAACTTACTACTTTCCTAACTCCTTCTCTAGCTCACATTCTCTTCTTTGAAGTTCTCTATTATTTATTTCTCTTATGTGCTATTTTAAGGTTATACAATTATACATTGTTTTGGATATTTATGTATATATTCTATATATGTGTATTATGTATTGATATTATCACCACATTTTATATTTATTATGTAGAGTTTTGCACATAGTACATACTTATAAAATTTGGATGAATGTTTGAAGAATTGAAGAATTTATGCACTACCCATTGTTTTGGTTGCAAGTGCAGGGGGCCAAGAAATTCAAGGCTGGCAGGCAGTACACTGGTTGTTGACTCCAACAAAAGACGAATCCAAGATCTCCAGGCTGAGCAGTGGGCTGCTCACTCACGAAAGTTTGTAGTCTGCGCACCAGGGTTCCAATCCCTCAAAGAATGTGGCTCTTCCCAGGATGTCTCTGGATATCTTGGAAGCAGGCCACACCCCTAGGGAAACTCCCCTTGGGCAGACTGGCCACTCAGAACACAGTCATCTGATCCCATCATGGGAACAACCACACAAAACTGGAGTCCAGCCAAGTTGACACACAGCTCCAACTATCACACACGGGATAATGGGTCCTTGTGTGGCTCAAACGGTTAAGCCCACAACTACTAACTGAAAGTCTGGCAGTTCAAATCCACCCAAGGTCACCTTTGAAATAAAGCCTGGAGATCTGCTTCTGAAAGGTCACAGCCTTGAAAATGCTGTGGAGCAGTTCTACTCTGCACATGTAATGTCTCTGTGAGTCAGAACTGACCTGATGGCAAATGACAATAACAATTGAACTAAAAGTTGTGGTTCTAATCTACTCAGTGGTGCAATGGAAGAAAGGCCTGGTGATCTGTTTTAATCAAGACTCCAGTCAAGAAAACACTGTGGAGCAGTTCTACTGTGTAACACAAAAAGTCACTTTGAATTAGAATTCACTCAACGGCAGCTAAAAACAACACACAACAGAAGGAGAATACTTGTTTGATATTATTTATCATTATGTATTTTTTTTCTTTCATATATAGCGTAGTGCCTAAGGCACTTGACTGCTAACCAGAAGTCTGGCGGTTCAAACCCGCCAGCCACTCCTCAGAAGGAAGATGGGGCAATCTACTTCTGTAGTGATATTGCCTTGGAAACCCAAGGAGGGGTCGCTATGAGTCAGGTCCGACTCGACGGCATATAACAACAACAACAACAACAAATATAATCCTCTGGAGAGTAGTTTGGAGTGCTTGTCTCCTTGGACATGGGTGAGGGCAATTATGATATTCCTTTTGCATCTGAGATACCATGTTCCTAATTGACTCGATGGCAAATAACAACAACAACAACAAATTCAACTTAAGAATCAGACAGACCATTTTGTTCTTTCAAGTGAAAAGACCCATAGAACAACAGAAATCCAAGCCACTGCTCAGCAACATCTTATGAATGTCTTTCTAAAGGGAAGATATTGCAAACTGTAGAGAAGTACCATTTCAAGAGAAAAGTTTTGTGTGTTATAATTGTGTATGTTCAAAGTCTGGACTGAACTTATTCTTATTACTTTATCCTGCAAATACACTTGAGGAGTTTCCAGCTTCACTTAACTTCTCTTGAGATGTTAAAATTCTTAAAAACATTAGGAAAACCAAAAATCTTCTTCCCCAAAGACTATAGGCCATATCATATGGCCAATACAGTAGGAATTTGTATTCTAGTAAAAACGAAATGGATATCAACATCTTCACTACTTTCAAAAGAAAAGCATACTGAAATTCTCATAAATATGAAGCGTAATAAAGTACTAATTTTTATGGTTGGTTTATTCATAACAAATAATTTTTTGCTAATCTCTATTTTACTTAAGGAATTCTCCTGGTGTAGTGGTTAAGACATTTGGGTGCTACAAAAGGTCAGTGGTTCTAATCTACCAGCTGCTTCCTGGAAAAAAAGATGAGGCAATATGCTTCCATAGAGATTTACAGCCTTGGGAACTGAATGCAGATTGTTATAACTCAGAATTGATTTGATGACAGTGAGTTTGGTTTTTGGTATTTTATTTATATTTTAATGTGTTTACTTTTTAGTTAAAACAAAACAAAACAAAAAACTGTGAGATAACAAACAAACAAAAATAAATCAAAGTAAAACCTACCTGAAAATATTAATAACTTAATTAAAAAATATATACCTTTAGGATACTTACTTGGAAGTTCTGGTGGGGTAGTTGGAACCAAAGTTGGTTCTGGGTAATTACTCACATTGCAAAAACCATATGTTAGACTAATGTCATCCAATGCAATATCACTCAGGAAATTGTTTTTAAAAGCATCAAAAGCAATCTGTAAATCAGAGAGACAAATGAAATGATTCCATTTTATTCTAAATGATTCCTCTTCTTGTCCAATATCCTTTGGAAAGTCAACACCAGATGGCTCCAAATGTATGATGACCAGTTACTGCATAGTAGAATATTTATAGACTGTGCTCTTGTAAGGTCCTCATTCTAAACATAGCTCCCTTATTATGTGCCAATGTGGGTATAAATTTTCACTGATGTTCCCCGTCAATTAAATAACATTATCAAAGTCTCTTGTTCTTTCTTTCATTGTTACTGCTGTGATACTGTGATACTCCATTGTAATATGTCATCCACATACATCATTAACAGGGGAGAATATCCTTCTCCCATGTTCTTCCCCCAACAATATTAAAAATCCAGTAGCTTTCTGCTTTCCTAGAATGCACAAGCCCTAAAGAAAAGATGCATTTGTCAGATGATTTAAATTGGAGGAGGATTTAAAGTTATGACTATAATATAATTTAGGCCAGCTGGTGCTGGCGATAGTTTATGTTGGATGTGGTGTGGGAGATTGTGTGATGATGTTATTCTAGAGGACATAGACCTAGACTTGAGAAAGAGCACCACTAGTCAGATGGAGAATTTTAGGGCCTCAGGGAAAATGGGCATTTTTAGCAGGATTTTCCTGGGTCATCTCCTGTGTATGAGGGAAGCACATAAACTAAATGCCTGCTGTGTGCAAAATAATACGCTACTCACCATGTATATATTATTTCATTTAATTATTTCAACACTATTTTATAGTCATCCATTTACTCACTTATTCACCCTCTTAATGCCAAGCACAATTATAAATATTATTTTCTCCCTTTGGTGTACAAGCAAGCAGAATTTCAAAAAGATTACAGTGACGTGCTCAGGATTTCACAACAAAATTTGACAAATATTTATAGAGGTCAACACTCACATTGTGCTTCATTAGCTCACTTAGAAAAAGTAGGTCCAGTTATATTACTTTAAAAAATGCCCAGTGAGTTGAACTAGATTTGGCTACTGCTCTACTTCATTTCTTCCTTTTGCCATCTTTTTGTCCCCTTGATGTTCCATTTTCCCTTAATTACCCCTTTCAATAATCAGAAAATAAACAGAGATGGACAAGAAAACTTCACAGAAAAGAAAGTAAAAATAGAAAAAAAAAGGGGGAGAAGGGAAAAGGAAGGAGAAAGAAAGATGGGAAGAATGCAGTTGAGGGCTCTTGGACCATTGGCTGCCTTACACCAGTTCTCATGAAGGAGAACTGAAAGCTTTGCAGACAACAATGTCCGGCCAATATGAAATCTGTGAAAGTAAAACTTCCTTCTCTGAAATGACACAATTAGAAGATTGTTAATTTGGTCTAATTATTACCTTTTATTTTAATTGCAAACACCCTTAGGAAGGGAACATATTAAACTATTATCTGAAAAATCAATTCATCTTAATGTGAATTAACTGATCAGAGACTTCCCACTGATACAGCTCATAAAATTCATTTATAAAGGAAATAAGTAGAGATTGAGTCAGAGCATGGTAAGGGAATGATAATGGATGTAGAGTTTCTAATTGTAGTTGTTAGGTGTGGTAGAGTAAGCTACATATCACAGCAACCTTATGTACCACAGAAGAAAACATTTCCCAATTCCATATTTGCTACTATATTTGTGGTTGTTGTCACAGCCACTGTCTCAATTAATGTCAATCTCATTTAAGGATCTTCCTCTTTTGTCACTTACCATCAACTTTACCAAGTATGATGACTTTCTCCCTTGATCTCTTCCTTATGACATGTCCAGAGGAATTGAAACCTTTTACTTTCTTCATGTATGCTATCTCACAGTTCTGGTTTTTGGTCATTTGTGTTCAGTGCATCTAATCTATTCTTGAGATCGTTTCTAAATTCAGGAAGGATGTATTTAAGGTTCTACTTTGAGTCTCATGGACTTTCTTCAATTTTCTTCAGCGTTAGCCTGAACTTGTGTGTGAACAATTGGCACCTGAGCTTGTTCTGACTGATAATATTGAGCTTCTCCATCATCTCTTTTCACAGATGAAAACCATTTATTTAGTTTCTGTGTGATCCGTTGGGTAAAGTCTACAGGTATAGTCTTTGTTTGCATTGTTGGAAAAAAATAAAAAAATATATTTCTGTTGAATAAGTCATTGTTATTACAGAATTCTTGAATTCATGTGATCTCCAATGCTGTATTTTCCAAGTACTGTTCTTTCTTTGTTTCTAAATTTTTCATTCCAAAGACCAGTAATTACTAGTCCAATTTTTAAAAAATCAATTAACAATTGCCTATTACACATGTGGGAGCTCTGGTAGCATAATGCCTAAGGCACTTGACTGCTAACCAGAAGGCTGGAGGTTCACACCCACCAGCCACTCCTTGGAAGGAAGGTTGGACAATCTACTTCCATTGTGATACTGTCTCGGAAACCCAAAGAGGGGTCGCTATGAGTCGGATCCAACTTGATGGCACATAACAACAACAACAACATTACACATGTGATCAATTATAAATTGCTAGTAGAAAAATAATTTCTTAGAAAAGTGTATGACAGTTCTGGGTGGTATTTGTGAAGTGTTGGAAGCTCCAGGCTACATAGGGACATGGGAAGACATAGTTGGCACATGAAAGGAAGTTTATGGAGAAAGCTTAAATATCTTGCAATATTTTAATTAATTTTTATGGCCCAGTGTTTTGGTTACCTCATGTTGCTCTAACAGAAATACCACAAATGGGTGGCTTTAACAGGAGTTTATTTTCTTACAGTTTAGAAGGCTACAAGTCCAAGTTCAAAGTGCCAGCTTTAGGGGCTGGGTGAAAGCCCCTTGACTTTGAGCTTCAGCTCTGCCTCTTGCTCTTGACCCACTGAAGCAGGAGGCTTTCTTCACTCAGTCAGCTGTTGGTTGCTGAGGCTGACATACCTAAGTCGACAAGTAAAAAGGCACAGTCCTGACATCAGCAAACCACATGGCAGGCCATTGATTCAAGTCCATTAAGAGTCCCAAGATCTGCAGACAATGTGGCAGCTGCTGAACAATGACTTATCTACATACAGGATTCAAGTGTGCCAAAAGCTACAGACCATCCATTCCTAAAGCTTCTCCTTATATACTGGGAACAGATCACATCCCTAAAGCAGCTATCAGCCGCTTGTGGCAGATTCCACCATGGAGATGATTGCCAATCTCATCATAGGGAATACTTCATCAACCTGCCCAACCACTCAAAATCAGGCCCAGCCAAGTTGACACAAAATTTAAATTACCACACCCAGTATAAAAAATATTTGTCATGCAGTAAATTATTCCTCCTAAGGTTTTTTAGAAGTCAATGAATAAATGAAAATAAAAATACCAAATGAAAAATAAAAGGTAGATTAGGAATGTAGAGAAAGTGACTTCTCTGTGTTCAGAAAATGAACTGTTTTTATCCTAAAAAGACTATAAATATGTGGTTATAAATCACAAAGTGTCTTGCCAACCTTAAATTCCACTGTTTCATTTAGTGTAACTTGTCCATAATTCCAATTTTCTCCATAATTTCCTTCTTTTTGGAAAATTGTCTTCTCCATGTTTTGTCCACTGCTGATATTAATGCTTAATTTATAGACATTTTCACCATACATATAATACCTGGTTTGGAAACAAGCATATAAAAAATGATTGGATTCTTACTCAGAATAAGAGCAGTTTTAAGAATAAAATGTAATTAAAATACCAATAATTAAAATCTGCAAAATTTTGGATGGTGGAATTAGTTGGGAGAGAAGAAATGGATGATGCTAATTTGTTTTATGAAATCAAATGTACTAAGATAAAAGCTTTAAAAGTTTGAAGAAGAAAAGTAAAGAACTGAAGTGGTAATCTAATATCCAGAAAATGTTTAGCATCTAAGTTAAAGCTACTGCAAGCTTCCATATGGTTTGCCAAACACAAGATGATGTAGTTCTTTCATTCCATGGAATGTACGTGCAAGTCCTATAAATGATGTACACTCTAGAAGAAATTCCCAAGGAGAGAATCATTTGCAATTCCACTTCTCATTTAATTGCATTTATAAGTTACAGCTGATGTAAAGTGCATTGCACACTCATCTACAACTTTTATGTATAAAATTATGATATGACCATATTTTTATTACCTAACCAAATACCTCCAAAAAAAAAACCTCACTGCCATCAAGTCGGATCTGACTCATGGTGACCCCTCCTTGGGTTTCTGAGGCGGTATCACTAGGAAGTAGATTGCCCAACCTTTCTTCCAAGGAGTGGCTGGCTGGTGGATTTGAACTGCCAAACTTCTGGTTAGCAGTCAAATGCCTTAGGCACTACACCACCAAAACACCTCAAAGGAAGGTATATATGATAAAGAGGATCAAGAGATTTTAAAACAAAAAAAAAAGAGGTTCAAGGGGAAATCATTTTTATGAATTGTTGTTGTTGTTGTTATGTGCCGTCGAGTCGGCCCCGATTCATAGCAACCCCTCCTTGGGTTTCCGAGGCAGTATCACTACGGAAGTAGGATTGCCCAACCTTCCTTCCGAGGAGTGGCTGGTGGGTTTGAACCGCCAGCCTTCTGGTTAGCAGTCAAGTGCTTTTAGCCACTATGCTACCAGAGCTCCTTTTAGTGCATAATTATTTAACTTTTTCCCTAGCTCTACTCAGAAATTACGCTAAGATGTTAATGCCAGGACATGCCATAGCATATTTTTCTTTGTATTTTATTTCATTTTCATTTCCACAGGTAGAGAATTGAGGAATATACTTTCTCTAGGAAAGGAAATCTTATAAAAAAAAAGAATTTTCTGGTGATTTTTTTTCTGGTCCAATTTTAATTTGGGAGCTAAAATTATATTAAGAAAAGTTAGAGAATCAATCATTCAATAATAATATCATAGAATTATCTGTGAAAATCCAGGGCTGACTTGACGGCACATAACAACAACAACAGACATTCATTCCAGGAGAAGATTGATCATGTCTTTTTGGAAATGTACCTATTCTGTCTCTTTTTCCCTTTAACCTTATTAAATTCCCAAAATTATTTCCCCTAACTTTTGGTTAAATTATTAGAAAAACATACAAAGTAATTTTGAAAAGCCACTTTTTTTGGTGTGTATGTGCGAGAGAAAATAGTTTGCTGTCATATGTCAGTGTTTTGAACAATAGGTTTAATTTCATTTTTACTATTTCTTAATAATGATTCTGAAATCCTAACAACAACAAGATTCACCCACATGAAATAACTTTATCATTGTATTTGCCTTGGAACCACCTTTTTCCTTTTGGCTCTTGTTTTTCATTTGTCTTTTAAACCTACTTAGTTTTTAGATTTCACAGCAGTCAGACAAACATTCTACTAATTCTCCTGTGCCTCTCCTAAATCCTGTTTGTTCTTATACAAATAAGTAAGTTATTAATGATCTGAATTCTACTTTTGACATTGGGTTTTTCTATATCCTTTACCAATAAACCGGTTGTGGAGTCGATTATGACTCTTGATGACCCCGTGTGTGTTAGCACTGTGCTACAAAAGGTTTTCAGGGACAGCTGAATTTTTGAAAGTAGATCTCCAAGTCTTTTTTCTGAAGTACCGCTGGGTAGACTCAAACCTACAACTTTTGGTCAGCAGTCAAGTGTGTTAACCTTTATTCCTACTACATAAGGATTCCTCTAAATCCTTTACTGTCTTTGAAATTTATTTTCTCTTGGGCCTGGAAGTTGCTCGGGGAGGGGAAGGGAGGCTACCAACATTCTGGTATTTTATCAATTGGAAAAATAATCACATAGGCATTAAAGTTTTAAACAATATCTCTGTGTATCTGAGCCTGGAAACTTGAAAAAGACAATGTTACTCATTAAATAAGCATTTAACATATATGGCATACCAGAAACTGAGGCAGATTGGTTCCCAAGTTAAGACTAAAGGGAGGCTTAAAAGTCGCACTCTTTCTCTTCTTCCACCTGGCCCAGTTGGGGTAGAAATGTAAAAGCCTGTCAAAACAACAACAAAAAAATGTACCTACTTACTGAAATATATCTTTGACAATCAGAAAAAAGAAAACTTCAAGGTGAAAATATAAGGAGATTATCAATAGATATAGTGCAAAGACACTAGACACATGGCCAGAAGGCATTAGGTCTGCCATACAAATTGTTATATGTGAAAATCACTTCACACCATGAACTTTCCAATTTAGAAAACCAGGACCTTGACCTAGAGTATCATTAATGGTATTTCTAGCTCTGACTTATTATGAGTCTACATGATTGTTTCATTATATTATCGTGTCCAATACTACTTTAATTACAGTTTACTGGATACTTTGATTAATTCACATATTTATATGTAAGGATCTGTATGGAAGGATATTTAGGTATGCTGGTGGAATAACTAATGATATACACAGTACTTAAATAGAAATTTGAAAGTGCAGTTAAAGGTTTCAAAGACCTACAGTTTTATATTCCACTGAATACACTGTAATTCTCTATGTATGAAGTTACCTGATTTTATATGGTTTCATATCCCTTATTCCTTTGAATGATAACTAATCAGATAGCAGAAGAGCAGAAAGCATACTAATTCACATAAAAGCTTTCTAAACAGCTGAGGCCTCTGAATAAAGTGCTTTCTCATTTGGAATTCATTATTCCAAGCAATGATTTGAGTTATTTGAAGTGTGAGAAGAGTTGTTGGGGTGAGAACAGTCTTGAACTTTTATGAGGAATTTTTTTATTCTTAGTTTGCAGTCATACATTATGATAGGAAGTAGGAAACATTATAAGGAAATATGATATCTTTTCATATACAAATGAAATATTGGGTAAACCCAGTTTGATTGGAATGTAAATTTTTATGATATTTTGCATTTTACTGTTTATTTGAACCCAAATATCTTCTCTCTTTTCCTTTCTAACAAAAAATTTATAGGCAATATTGCAAATAAAATTCAAACTCATTCATTTATAAAACATTGAAGAAGAACAAACCTGAAGAAAAGAAATCCTATCAGAACTGCCTAGAGATATAATAATATATGCTCAGATCAGTGAGTCAAAAATGAATCAGAATAAATGAGTATTTTATCAAGATGGAAATCATGGCCAAATGTCTTGAATGCAATTCATATACTTTCATTTGATTTAGATGGCATGTTGTAAAAATACAAAAGAACGTATGTTTAACGTTTTATATTTTTAACACATTACTTGTGTTTAACATAATACTATGATATTTCATGAGTACCAATTTTAGCTATATAGTCAGTGGTCAATTATCCAATCCAATGAAATAGAAAATTACAGAAAGAGAGAGGAAATATTCTGAATCTATTCTCTAAATATTCAACTTTAAATCCCTTTTAAGTTGACCTTAATTTTAGTTGCTTAGGACATAGTTAAAACATTTGACTGCTAACTAGAAGGTTGGAGGTTCGACTCAACAGCCACTCTGCAGAAGGAAGACTGGGCAATCTACTTCCATAAAGATTTACCATCTCAGAAACACAAAGGAGTCGTTATGAGTGGGAATCAATTGATGACAGTGAGTTTCTTTTTCTTTCCTTTTTTTTAGGACATAGTTAGGGAAGAAATAAGTAAAATACCACTTAATGCAGTAGTCATTTAGAAATATACCTGTTTAGCTGCAATTATATAACATATACACAAGTTATGCTCCAATTTACATTTGGTTATGTTCATAGTCAATTGGTTATGATTTGAAATATTTTGCTCTGTTGTTTCACTCATTAAGCAATAATATTTTTGGCAATTTCAATTCTGATTAGAGTATCATAATAGCTTATGTTTAGTGTCAGTGTTCGGGAAAAAGATAATTAATTATAATTATTAAGGAAAAGAGCTCTGGTGGCATAGTGCCTAATGCATTTGCCTAATGCTAACCAGAAGGTTGGTGATTCAAACTCTCCAGCCACTGCACAGAAGGAAGATTAGGCAATCCACATCCCCACCTCAGAAACCCAATGGGGGTCACTATGAGTGGGAATTGACTTGCTGACAGTGAGTTTGGTTTTTGGCTTATATCATCTTACGAATTATATATAAATAAATTTTTAAAATATATTAAATATCAGATAGAATTGTATTCTATATTTTATAGCAAAATAATGTATTACATTAATTTCTTATGTGTTTTCTGCCAAGTAGTTAAAGAAATGAATTAGAAGATAAAGTAAATTATGAATATTAAAGTATATACATATACTTGGGAGCTCTGGTAGTGTAGTGCCTAATGCACTTGACTGCTAACCAGAAGGCTGGCAGTTCAAACCCACCAGCCACTCCTCAGAAGGAAGATGAGGCAATCTACTTCCATAGTGACACTGCCTCAGAAACCCAAGGAGGGGTCACTATGAGTCGGGTCCAACTCAACAGCACATAAAAACAACAACATACATATACTTTTCATAAAATTTACTTATTCTAACCATTCCATTGTACTTAAATTTTATCAAACCCCAAACCAAACCCACTGCCATCATGTTGATTCCAACTCATAGCAACCCTATGGGACAGAGTAGAACTGCTCCATAGGATTCCCTATTCCAGCTATCACATGACCACCGTTTAACCCATCTCAGATACTACAGGAATCATTGCATTCCAAGACAGCCTATTCCACCCCAACATGGTTAGAAACTTTCTTCCTCTCTCTTTCCCTCCATCCCTCCCTTCCTTCCTTTCTTCAATTCCTGCTTCCTTCCTTTCTTCCTCCCTTTATCCTTCCCTTCCTTCCTTTTGTCAAAATGGAGTTATTGTATACTTCTTGGTTCTATGTTTGCCTCCTAGGTTCATTAAAGACAAAATAAATTTGTATCAGCTATATTTGTTTATCAGAAGGAAGATTGGGCAATCTACTTCCCTAGAGATTCTGCCTCAGAAGCCCAAGGAGGGGTGGCTATGAGTCAGAATCAACTTGACAGCAGTGAAGTTTGTTTTTTTTCTTGGAAGTCTTCTCAAGATTATCCATCATATTTACCTTGAATTTTTTTTTTTTTTTTTTTGCAACACAATTACAGTTTGCTGTTCCATTTCAATAGCTCTCAATTAGTCATACATCCAAATGGCTCCACTTGTTGTTAGGTGCTGTTGAGTCAGCTCCAACTCATAGCAACCCTATGTACAAAGAATGAAACACTGCTCAGTCTTGTGTCATCCTCACAATCCTTGCTGAGCCCATCATTGCAACCCCTGTCTCAATTCATCTCATTAAGAGCCTTCCCCTTCTTTGCCAACCCTCCACTTTACCAAGCACAATATCCTTCTCCAGGGAATGGTCCTTTCTGACAACATGACCAGAGTAGGTGAGACAAAGTCTGGCCATTCTCACTTCAAAGGAGCATTCTGGCTGCACTTCTTCCAGGACAGATGTGCTTGTTCTTTTGGCAGGCCATGGTACTTTCAGTTTTCTTTGCCAACATCACAACCCAAAAGCATCAACTCTTCTTCAGTCTTCCTTGTTCATTGTCCACCTCTCACATGCATATGAGGCAATTAAAAATATCATAGCTTGGGTCAGGCACACCTCAGTCTTAGAGGAGACCTCTTTGCTCTTCAGCACATGAAAGAAATCTTGCAGTAGATTTTCCCAATGCAATACGTCATCTGATGTCTTGACTGCTGCTTCCATTGGTGTTGATTGTGGAACCAAGTAATATGAAATCTTTGACAACATCAACCTTTTCTCCAATTATTGTGATGTTGCTCATTAGTCCAGTTGTGAAGATTTTTGTTTTCTTTATGATGAGACACAATCCATACTGCAGACTGAAGTCTTTAATCTTCATCAGTAAATGCTTCAAGTCATCCTCACTTTCAGCAAGCAAAGTTGTGTTGTCTGCATATTGCAGGTTGTTAATGAATCTTCCTTCAATCCTGATGCCATGTTCTTTATATAGTCCAGATTCTCAGATTATTTGCTTAGCATACAGATTGAATAAGTATGGTGAAAGGATAAACCTTGACACACTCCTGTCCTCATTTTAAATCATGCAGTATACCCTTGTTCTGTTTGAACAACAGCCTCATGGTCTATGTACAGTTTCCTGATGAGCACAATCAAGTGTTCTGGAATTGCCATTCTTCTCAATGTTACCCATAATTTGTTATGATCCACACAATCAAATGCTTTTTCATTGTCAATAAAACACAAATAAACATATTTTTGTATTCTTTGTTTTCAGCTAAGATCCATCTGATAGCAGCAATGATACCTCTCATTCTGTGTCCTCTTCTGAATCCAGTTTGCACCTCTGGAAGTTCTCTGTCAATATACTGCTGCAACTGTTTTGGAATTATCTTCAGTAAGATTTTACTTGCTGTTGTTGTTGTTGTTATGTGCTGTTGAGTCGGCCCTAACTCATAGCGATTTTACTTGCATGTGATATTAATTATTTTGCTTGATAATTTCTACATTCTGTGGGATAACTTTCTCTGAAATGGGTACAGATGTGGATCTTTCCCAGTCAGTTGGCCAGGTAGCTCTCTTCCAAATTTCTTGGCATAGATGATTGAGTGTCTCCAATGGGGCATCCATTTTTTGAAACATCTCAATAGTAATTCTGTCAATTCCTGGGACCCTCACTCCTTGCCAATTCCTTCAGTGCAACTTTCACTTCTTCCTTCTTGATCATTGTTATCTCCTGAGATGGATGAACATTGACCAGTTCTTTTTGGCACGGTGACTCTGTGTGTTCCTTCCATCTTCTTCTGACATTTCCCACATCATTCAATATTTTTCCCATAGAATCTTTCAGTATTGCAATTCAAGGCCTAAATTTTTCCACAGTACTTTCAGCTTGAGAAATGCCAAGTGTGTTCTCCCATATTGGAGTATTTCATAGGTGGAAAAGTAGTAATATCACAACAGTGGGGCTGCAACTTAAGTCAGACTATCATTGGCATTATCTGTTTCTCTGTGTGTCTCACTACAAGTTATCTATTATCTATTTCTGTGTGTCTCAGTACAAGTT